CACCCACTTTTCTGTTGTCCGTCCCCTAGGGAGGAGGTTATATGTAGATCATTATAATCAGTTCCCCCTTTCTACCCCACCTTCCCTCCCTCCACCCTCCCGGTATCGCCACTCTCACCACTGGTCCATCTTGGATTCCCTGCCAGCACTGAGATGCTTACACATTCACTGACTCAGCTTTCCTCCTGCAGTCAGCATTACTGCATGTGTTTCATGAGATGGAGGAGGACTTTGTGGATTGGTGTTGGACATACGGGCTAATGTTGGACTTGTGGGCTTGGGCAGCACTGGGTTGGGATGTTTTCCTGATGCTCACTTAACCTTTCTATAAAACATGAGTTTCTGTGGATTTGTTTCTCTAAGGGACCCAGACTAACACAGAAACCATACTTGATGGTGGGGGGAACGTTGTTTTCTCCTTAGGCAAACATGACAGGACCACCTTGCAAGATCTGTGGCCCCATGAGAGCCTGCTGATGGTTCAGCCATGGGTGTTGATGAAGCAATGGCTGGCCTGTCTCTCTTCCTGAGATGAACGGACGCTTGTCTCCTGTGCCCTGACTAAAGCTGCAGAAGGGAGGAGCCTGCAAACATATCAGTATATTTCCTATTCCCAGCCTCATCCTCCCCTCCGGAGGATAACTTGGCTGATGTGTTAATACTTCTTTGTAAGCCTTCAAAGAATTGTGAACTGCCCCTTTGTGTAAAGCTGTCACTTATTGCAGGCTATGTGTAGGAAGGCTATTTAAGCCTGCCTCTAATAAAGTTCAGGTCCTAGAGTGTCTATACTGCAGGGACGCCTGTGCCTCAACTGTATCTATCCTTTTCCTTTTCTCTGTTTTCTCATTGCAGACTGTGCTCCTCTCGAACCTCTTAGATTTGTAAGATAAGAGCTGGTCTCTATATTACACTTGCCCTATGGTTACCATGGTGAAGGAGGAAGAATTTGTGCTTAGGGGGCACTGAGTTCATGTTAATGGTGGTGGAACAATTTGGAGAGGGATAACAATAATGGTTGTACAACACAAAAAGTATAACCAAGGGCAATGAATTGTACATATAGAAATAGTTGGATTGGCGGATGTTTTGTTGTGTGTATTTTTGCCAAAATGGAAAAAAAAATTACATGAATAACAATGAGTAAGGGGAAAAAGAAAATGTTCTAAAATTGATTGTGGTAAAGATTGCACAATTCTAAACCCTGTATAATGCACTCATCTTTTCACTGATCCTTTCACCATACTTGTCCAATCTGTATGCTGAGCAAATCAACCAGGAAGCTGGGCCCTGTGAGGAAACATGTAGCATCGGGATTTGAAGAAGACTTAGTAGTAACCTGTAATATATGATGCAACCTTACTTGCTGAAAGGGAGGAGCACTTGAAGCACTTGCTGGTGAAAAGCAAAGTCTGCAGCCTTCAGTATGGATCACAGCTCAAAGTAAAGACAGCCACAGGCCTCAGCCCTGGACCAGTCGGCAGCATCATGATAAACAGGGAAGATTGAAGTGTTCAAGGGTTTCATTTTGCTTGGGTCCACTATCAGTGTTCATGGAAGTAGCGGTCAAGAAATCAAACAACATATTGTACGGGGGAATCTGCTGTTTGAGACTTCTTTACAGTGTTGAAGAGCATACATGGCAGTTAGAGGACTAAGGTGCACTGTGTGGGATAGTTGAGGCTTTGAGTCAACTTGGCTGCACCAGGATTCTCAATGGTTTGGCAGTGAATACCTAGTAATACCCCATGGCCCGACCTAACACAGCGTAATTGCAGACAACCAGTTCTAAGTCTCCATAACTGGATAAGAATAAGGTGAAATGCAACACCCTTCCTCAGCTCTGAAATAATTAAAAGGAAGTTTCCTTGGGGTGTAGCCTCCTGCAAATAAAGGAAGCTGTGGAAAATTGCTTTTGCTTTTTTTGCTGGCTCTGTCTGTATCTTGCATCTGACTTATCAACATCTGGTGCTTTGGACTTTAGCCAATGGTCTGCCATATTACCTGCCAATCCTGGGCATTATCAGCAACTTGTCATCTGACTGCTGACCATGGATTCATCTTCTGCAGTTACCAGCCTGTGCTCTTCCTGCCTATCCTCAGCTCCCACAGCTACCCCAATTAGAAGCCTCCCCCACAACATCTGACTCAGACTTGGAACCTGCCTGCATGAAGGCTTGCTGATTTTACAACCATTGTCTTGATATAAATCAATCAATCGCTCTCTGTCTGTCTCTCTTTCTCTCTACCTACACACACACACAAACACACAGAAGATTGGATAAGAATGCATTTGAATTATGCTGTTAGCAAAGATTGTTGAAACACTGCAGACTGCAAGAACAAACAAATCTTTCTTGGAAGAAGTACAGCCAACACGCTCCTTAGAAACAAGGAGGCTAGACTTTTTCACGTGTACTTTGGACATGTTTGCATTGGTAAGGCACTGAAAAAGAGGAAGGCTCTCAACATGATGGATTAACACAATGGCTGCAACAATGGGCTCAAACAGAACAATTGTGAGGATGGTGCAGGGCTGGCCAGTGTTTAGTTCTGATGTATGTAGGGTTGCTATGAGTCGTAACTGACTCAATGATACCTAACGATGTTATGTTAATGAGGCAGATGCAATTTATAGAATTAGGTTGCCTCTTTAAAAAATTTTATTGGGGGTTCATACAGCTTTTATCAAAA